GTATAAGTATGTATAAAAAGGAAGTTTGTTTAAACTTGGGTTGCATATGATACTAGTCCTAGTCAGGACGAACCAACTATCGCTCATAACTCGGGTTGAAAAGCCTTGGGTTGTGTTCAATAGGAAAATGTGTGCTTGGACTTTTAGACTAGGGTTCTTGAATGTATTTCTAGAACCTCGGAATAAACGGCTAAGTGCACATATGTAGCATATTTGGTCTGGTTATGGGTCTACGGTTGGTTGCGCATGTTCTTGTTTGATTATTGCACGGCCAATCGGATCAACGTTGACCTAATCTGGGTCAGGGGTGTTACACCGCTGGTCGCGAGGTTGGAGTCACTGAGCCTCGTCGTACTCTCGAAGATGGTGGGTTCTTCTCTCGCCGAAACCACCACTGCAGAAGTATTCATCCGGCTATGGTGTTGGTTCAATACCGAACATTTGGGCCACCAGACAATGATCTTGATGATGTACAATGTTTGGGCAATTTTTAACCAGGTTCTTAAGTACACAGATCTATGTAATGATAAAGAGAAGTATAGCTTTATTAATCAACGAAGTAGGCTTGTAGCCGAATAGTATTACAATGTCTAGATGTCTAAAGCGTTATAGAAAAACTTCGTCTGATGTAGAAAACAAGGCTAGATCTCCGATTGGTATCTCTGGGATGTTGTGAAGATGTAGCTCTTAGGTTTTTTCTATGTTTCGATGTCTCTATTTATAGGATTTGATCAAATCCATTTTGGATTTGGACTAGCCTTGACGTACAAGCTTATCTCCTTAATAATCGAGATTCTTGATATACTTGAATCTCTTATTTCTTTATATTACGAGGTCTAGATAATGACAAACCTCGTAATACATGGGATTGTGAAATCTCTGCAAGTCTATCTTAAAAACCTTGTATTACTTTATATCAAATAAGTTAACTAACCTTATAACGACGTCACCAATTTAATAACAACGTAGTAACGATGTCTTACTCGCTACTAAGAAGTCATTTCTCCATTTTACATGACATACTTGACATATTGCCAGGTATTAGCAGGTTATTTCTTTGCTTTGCATATCGCAGACGACGTGTAGTCATGTATTAGCAGGTTATTACATGACTTTACCTTGCGTAGACAATCCATCATCAGGTATCATCAGTAAGTTATTACTTTGGTTTATCTGACGTAGACGATGTATTGTTAGGTAAAAGCAAGTTATAACTTCGTTTTACCTAACGTAGTTGATGTATTTTCAGATAAAGGCAAATTACGATCTCGCTTTACCTGACGTAGATGATGTATTGTCAGGTAAAGGCAAATTATGACCTCGCTTTACCTGGCGTAGATGATGTACCTGCAAGTCTTACTGCTTAGCCAGGTTAGATCAAGGTTAATCAGATTTAACTAACTTGTGAATTTATTTTTCCCAACATATAAGACG